CTCTGGGGGTGGAGTGGGAGCTGATAGCATTGATGCCTGTGCAACCCCACTCAATGGGACTGAACAACAGAATTGCATGTGAATGTGTAAGATACAGCAAAAAACCCCAAACCCTGTTGTAGAAAAAAAAAAGAATGAGGGTTGCTGGGGGTATGGTATGGGAGAGAGGGGACAAAAGGGAGCTGATATCAAGGAGTTCAAGAAGAAAGAAAAAATGTTGAAACTAATAGTGGTAGCAATTGTACAATACTGCTTGATGTGATTGAACGGTGGGATATTGAGACCTGTAAGAGTTTCCAATAAAATAAAATTTAAAAAAAATTTTCTGAGAAGAATATGTACCTTTCTGATCCCATCCATATAGAGTTAAAAACCATGCTGAAGAGCAAGCAAACCAACACAAGTTGGGATAAGAAAGTAAAGAGAGGAGACTAAAATAGAGTACCCAAAGACCTCAATGGTTCTTGGTAGCACTATCTTTCTTAAACCAGATGGTCAAGACCTAGGAATCATTTGTATTTCTCTTTATCCTTTAAATACATATTCTTTTTAATGAAGGAAACATCTCATAATGGAAGAAAGTACTATTTCAAAAGAAAGCCATTTATATAGTTGGCATTAAGTATGTCTGTTTCAATAATATATTAATAGGGCAAGCAGCCCCATTCTTATTTTTCAAATATAAAATTCTCTCAAGTGTTTGGATGGAGCAAAGTGACAGGACTTAACCCTTAAACCGTAACTTTGGAAGAATAAATACTCTTACCACTTCAGTCAAAGACGACCATCGCCTCCACTGGAGGCATCAAGACCAAAACCCACAATCCTCCTTTCGCATGTTCCTTCTAAATTTTCAAGCGTCTCTCATACCTCGGATAAATCGGTTCTCCCATGACCAATTAACTTTGCCTTGATTTCTTCCACTTTTCTCCGGTCATCTTCATTTAATTCTGACATGGAGTATCCACAGTGGTGAGCCAAATTAAGCTTCAGATTCCAGGCTAGAGAGAAAACATAAAATGAGGTAGCACAATGCAAAGGTGATCATTTGCTGGTGATTATAAGAACACAGACTGCCAATATATCCCATAAAATGCCTATATAACCTTAGTAAAAACTGTTTGCTCTCAAGCGTATGACAAACTATTATTACCGTATATACTCATGTATATGCCGAATTTTCAGCACATTTTAAATGCCGTTTCTGTGGTAAAATTGGGTGCCTCGGCTGATATTCAGGTCAGCTTATACTAGAGTATATAAGGTAACTGTTAAGAACAATGATTGCACTGAAAAGTTTATTTTTAAGCCATATTTCTCCAAGGAGGGAACTTCAAATATGCTGGTTAATAGTTTTTATCCTAATCTTCCTTCCACTCAAGAGCATCCCTTTGCCTCCCCCTTTAGCTCCTACCACAGTTTACTACCCTTTGTATGAGTAAATAGTTTAATTGCTGTGAATTTTTAAAAAGAGTCAGAATATGCCTAAGTAGAAGGAAAACATGTACACAGTTAACGCCTCCAGAGGATTTCCAAGTAGCACTGGATAAATTCTCAGTTATGCTTCCCCTTTTCTCCCCTCCCTTCCCCCAATGTTTCACATCCTGTGTTCAATTTTGTTTTTTTAACATTTAAGATTCTACTCTTAGAGATTAGTGGGGTTAGTGTATATTATCTTTTAAACCTCTTACCCAAGTTTCCATTTGCCACATCTTAATTTTTTGCCCCCTCTAATATCTCCCTGAAATCAAAAGTGCCTGGTGATGAAGTGATTAGGTATTTGGCTAACTTAAAGGCCAGTTGTTCCAACCCATCAGCAGCTCCAAAGGAGAGAAGCGAGGCAGTCTGCTTCTATCGATTGATAGCTTTGGAAACCCTATGGGGCAGTCCCACCCTGTCCTATGGGGTCATTCTGGGTAGGAATTGACAGCTGTGAGTCTGAGTTTGGATCTAAGGCTAAATCTGAATAGTTTATTAGAAAAGAGGAAAGAAAATATATAAGTAATTTTAAGACACAGAACAAATTGGTAGGTTTGTCTAGCCTCAAAATAAGAACACTATATAACAGGAGGCCCAGTGAAACACAGCAGTTTGAGTCTACTTCCCTCCCCTAGGCTCTAAACTCAAACTAGCAATATTAACACAACACCCCAGCCACATTGCCGGTTAAATGGGCTTTTTCTGGATTGCTAGTGGGAAACGTAACCACTTTAACAATTCTACATGAAAATAAATTTAGGGCTTTCAACATGTAATTTACAAGTTATTCAAGTTGTTTATAAGCTTGAAACTTCTATTAGTATATTATGAACTGTTAGTATATCAGACAGCATCCGTTCTTACCCCGTGCTCGTACCCGACTTTCCTCTTCCTCTGCATTTCTCAGTATTTGTTTAGCATGATTCAGTGAGGATTCACACTGCAAAAGGTTTCTCACATGCGCAGCTAGTGAGTCTACACTGCTGCTACCGCCATCATCACTCTCTGACCACCCCTCCTCCTCTCGGCTGTCTGACATGCTGACATTGGGGGAAGTATCTGGGAAGAAGTTGAGAAGCACATCCGACATTGACTCCAAAGATTCTGGTAAATTACTGTCCCATGAGCAGGAACCGTGTCCATCGCTTGTGTCACTACTTGAATCACTTTTTAGGACAGTCATCACAGGAATAAAAACCGTATTTCCAATGGCTCCACTACACCCCTCAGGTTCAGACCTCATTACACATCTGGCTGTTTCAGACCGCTTCAGGGTTTCCTCCAACACTGGTCTAGCATTGGTTTCTGCTTCGTGCACAGTACTTCTAACTGGGGTCGAACGAACAAACTCCCAATTTTCAGGGCCTTGCTGGCATTTCACATTTGTCTGTGTGCTAATATCCTTCTGTGTGTACCTGATGCTTGGCTTTTTCTTTGATAATGGTGAGAAGGGCCGATTCTGAGGCAAATCACCATTACATACATCAGCTGGGGAAGGTTCTTTGAAGCACACCACCTTCTTTGGTTGTATACATGGAGTATCGCTGACATCCCTGAAAGGGATAAGGGGAGCAGGAGCATTACATCGTTTCAGTGCTATATTTTCGGCCTCCATTAAAAGGGACTGAATCTCTTTAAGAGTTTTGTCACTTCCTCGGGGTTCTTCGGGGCACAAGTCTCCAAAACTTACAGCTTCGGGCTTATGTATTTTAACTCTGCCTTCAGCCTGAGAATGTACGGGTATGGTCTTTGGGCTAAGACTGGGGTCAGGGGACTCAAAGCGATCTGTTAACCATCGGGCACAATCTGGACCAAGTTTGTGCTTTTCACTTTGAAAATAAGTACTAGAGGAAACTGCTGGCAACACAGTAATCTGTTCAACTTGCCCAAGGGCACTTGAGACTTTCAGAGCATCTTCAGTTACAAGCCTTTCTGGCAAATTCTGTGGAGAGAAAATATTAGGCTTTTCTCTGTGAGAAACAGAACTAGAAGACACTGTTGGTGGCACACTCTTCTGGTCAGCTGGTCTAGAAATCACTGAGACTTTCACAGGATCAGCAGGCAGATATCTGCCTGACAGTTGTGGTGGGTAGAAACGATTAGATTTCTCTGTCTGTGAATAGGAACTAGCGAGTGGTCCTGGCATTCCGGCACCCCCATCAGTTGGTTCAGGGACAGTTGAAACCTTCAGATGACCTTCATTCTGAGGTCCACCTGGCAACTTCTGTTGAGAAAAAATACTGGGCTTTTTGCTTTGAGAATAGGAGGTGGACAAAACTGTCAGTCTTGGAGCCTTCTGGGTATTGGATCCAATCACAGTTGAAATCGTGGGCTTCTCCCTATGCGCACTGGAACTGGTGGGAGCTGTTGATGGTTTAGTCGTCCGGTCATCCGATCTAGCCACAGGTAAAATCTTGAGCTTCACTGTATGTGAATAGGAACTAACAGGAGTACGCTGTAAGCCAGTTTTCTCATCAGCTGGTCCGGAAACAGTTGAAACCTTCTGAGCCTGTTCAGTTAGGGGACTCTCAGGAAAATTCTGTTGGTAGAAAGTACTGGGCTTCTCTCTAGGTGAGTAAGAACTAGAGATCAGGGGTGCTGCCCCTGCCTTCTGGTCGGTTGGTTTAGGAACATCTGCGGTTTTCGGAGGCTCTTCACTTACATGATCCTTTGGTGGCAGCTTTTGGGAAAAAAGCTCAGGTGTTTCTTTCCGTGAGTAGAAACTAGCGAGCACCTTATGATTCGGTTCCCCTGGTCCAGGAACAACTGAAGCTTTCAGAGTCTCTTCACTCGGATCACTGTCTGGCAACTCCTGCTGGTAGAAGAGAGCAGGCTTCTCTTGTAGCAAATAGGAACTTGTATGTACTATTGGTACCCTAGACTTCTGGTCAGCTGGTCCTGGAACAAGTAAGTCTTTCAGGGCCTCTTCAGTTAGTTGACTCTCTAGCACTGCTTGCTTATATAAAGCACTGGGCTTCTCTTTATCTGAGTAGGAATCAAAAGGCCCTCTTGGTATTCCAGTCTTCTGGTCAGTTGGTCCCAAAACAGTTAAAACTTTAAGCGGCTCTTCAGTGAAACGATGATCTGGAAACTCCTGTTGGTGGGGAGTCCTGGGCTTCTCCGTATGTGAGTAAGAACCAGAGAATTCTGTGGATAGCCCAGTCTTCTGATCAGCTGGACCAGGAACAGGTGAACTTTCTGGACCCTCTTCTGTTAGATGACTACTGGACAACTCTTGTTGGTAAAAAATGCCAGGCTCCTCTCTCTGTGAGTAGGAACTAGAGGGTATTAATATCCCAGTCCTCTGGTCAGCTGGTCTAGGAACAGGTGAACTTTCCGGACCCTCTTCAGTTAGATGACTACTGGACAACTCTTGTTGATAGAAAACACCAGGCTTCTCACTCTGTGGGTAAGAATAAGTAGACACTGTGGGTATCCCAGGCTTCTGTTCAGTTGGTATGCCTGGAATCAGTGAATTCAGAGTCTGTTCAGTTTGATAACTATCTTGTAACACTGGGTGGTAGAAAGTATTGGGCTTTTCTCTCTGTGAGTGGGAACTAGAGAGTGCTGTTGGTGCCTCAGATTTCTGGTCAAGTTGTCCAGGTACACCTGACCCTTTCAGAGCCTCTTCAGTTAGATGACTCTCTGGCAATGGCTGTTGATGGAAAACACCAGGCCTCTCTCTCTGTGGGTAGGAACTAGTAGTGACTGTTAGTATACCAGGTTTCTGGTCAGCTGGTACATCAGGAACAAGTGAACTTCGCAAAGCCTGTTCAGCCTGATGACTATCTGACAATGTCTGTTGGTAGGAAACACCAGGCCTCTCTCTCTGTGGGTAAGAACTTGTGGACACTGTTGGTATCCCCACGTTCTTCTGGTCAGCCATTATGTCAGGAAGAGGTGAACTTCTCAAAGCCTGTTCAGCTGGATGACTATCTGACCGTGTCTGTTGGTGGGAAACACCAGGCCTCTCTCTCTGTGGGTAAGAACTAGTGGACACGGTTGGTATCCCCACGTTCTTCTGGTCAGCCGATATGTCAGGAAGAGGTGAACTTCTCAAAGCCTGTTCAGCTGGATGACTATCTGGTAACAACTGTTGGTAGAAAACACCAGACCTCTCTCTCTGTGGGTAAGAACTAGTGGCCACTGTTGGTATCCCGGTCTTATTCTGTTGAGCTAGCACATCAGGAATAGATAACATTCTCAGAATCTCTTCTGCTTGATAACTATCTGAGAAGGCTTGTTGGTGGAAAAGATTGGGCTTTTCTCTCTGTGAGTGGAAATTAGAGGGTGCTGTTGGTACCCCAGACCTCTGGTGAGGTTGTCCAGGAACACCCAAATCCTTCAGACCCTCTTCAGTTAGATGGCTATCTGGTAACAGCTGCTGAGGGAAAACACCAGGCCTCTCTCTCTGTGGGTAGGAACTTGCGGACACTGTTGGTATCCCCACGTTCTTCTGGTCAGCTGGGATGTCCGGAACAGGAGAACTTCGAGAAGCCTCTGCAGCTCGATGACTATCTGGTAACAACTGCTGGTAGAAAACGCCAGGTCCCTCTCTCTGTGGGTAGGAACTAGAGGACACTGTTGGTATGTCAGGAACAGGTGAACCTCTCAAAGCCTGCTCAGCCGGATGACCATCTAACAGTGTTTGTGAATAGAAAACATCAGGTCCCCCTCTCTGGGGGTAGGAACTGGCAGACACTGTTGGTACCCCAGCCTTATTCTGGTCAGCTGGTACATCAGGAACAGGTAAACTTTGTAAAGCCTGTGCAGTAAGATGGCTATCTGGCAACACTTGCTGGAAGAAAATACGAGGCTTCTCTTTATAAGAAAGTGAACTAGAAGGCACTGTTTGTACCCCAGACATCTGGCCAGGGTGTTCGGGAATAGTTGATCCTTTCAGAACATGTTCACTTTGATAATGACCTGGCAATGTCTGTGGGTAGGAAACACTAGTCCCCTCCACCTTATTCTGGTCAGCTAGTATGGCAGGAAGAGGTGAACTTCTCAAAGCCTGTTCAGCTGGATAGCTATCTAACAGTGTCTGTTGGTAGAAAACACCAGGCCTCTCTCTCTGTGGGTAAGAACTAGTGAACAGTGGTGCTATCTCATCCTTCTGGTCAGCCGGTACATCAGAAGCAGATAAAATTCTCAGAACCTGTTCAGTTTGGGAATTATCTGGAAATGATTTTTGGTATAAAATACTAGGCCTCTCTCTCAGTAGGTAGGAATTAGCAGACATTGTTGGTATGCCAGTCTTCTGTTCAGCTGGTACGTCAGGAACAAATGAACTCCCGAGAGCCTGGTCAGTGTATTGATTATTTGGTAAAAGCTCTCGCTGTGAATGGGAAGAAGGTGGCAATGTTGGTACCCCAGATTTCTGGTCAGGTTGTTCAGAAACAGCGAAGCCTTTTACAGTCTCTTCAATTAAATGACTAACTGACAGCATCTGTTGGTAGAACCCACCAGGCTTCTGTGTGTGTGTGTAAGGACCAGAAGATACTGTGGGTATCTCAAGCTCCTGTGCAGCTGGTACACCTGGAACAAAGGAACTCAGCGTCTGCTCAGTTTGATAACCATCTAGTAACACTGGTTGGTAGCCTGCACCAGGCTGTGAGTGGAAACCAGATGATGGTGTTGGGATCCCAGGCTTCTGGTCAGTTCGTCCAGGACCAACTAAACCTTTCAGAGCCTGTTCAATTAGATGTCTATCTGGTAATACTTGCTGAGAGGAAATACTGGGCTTCTCTCTCTGTGAGTAATAACTAGTAGGCACTATCGGTATCCCAGTGTTCTGATTAGGTTGTTCAGGAACAGCTGAACCCTTGAGAGTCTCTCTAGTTAAATGACCATCTGGTACCATCGACTGTTGATAGAAAATACTGGATCTCTCTCTATGAGAGTAGTAAGTACTAGAGGGCATTGCTGGCACCCCAGTGTCCAGGTCATATGGTTCAGGAACACTTTTCAGAGCCTCTTCAGTTAGATGACTATCTGGTAAGACCTGTTGGTAGTGAGTACCAGGTTTCTCTCTCTGGGAGTAGTGATGAGACAGTACTGCTGGTATCGCCATCTTCTGGTCAGCAGGTCCAAGAATGGAGCTTTTCAGAGCCTCTTCAGGAAAATGACTATCCTGCTGGAATTGAGTATCCGGCTTCTCTCTCTGTGAGTAGGAATCAGAGGGTACTGGTTGTATCCCAGTCTTCTGCGAAGCTGGTCCAGGAGCAGCTAAAAGTAAGAGAGCTTCTTCAGACAGACCATTATCTGGCATGGCCTGTGTGTAGATTGTACTGAGCTTCTCTCTATGTGAGTAGGAACTAGTGGTTATTCTTGTTATATCAGCATTCTGGCTAGCTGTTCTGTGAGCAGCTAAAACTTGCAGCGTTTCTTCAGTGAGGTGACTATCTGACAACTCTTGCTGATACAAAATACTAGGTGTTTCTCTAGATGAGTGAGAACCAGAGGGTGCTGTTGGTATCCTATTCTTCTGGTTGGCCAATGCAGGTCCAGTTGAAATGCTCTGAGTTGGTTCACTCAGAAGACTACCTGGCAAAGTCTGTTGGTGTAAACTATCAGTATGTTCACCAACTGTCTTGAGGGGCTGAGGGCTCCTTATAGACAACTGAAGCAGAACCTCAGTGTGAAAGGAAGAATTAGAGCTAATGTCTGAATCTCCAGAAATGATAGTAAGGTCTGTTTTTAAGTTGGTTTGAGTAAGTTCAGCCGTGCCTCCTTCAGAATGACTTCCTAAAGAGAGAAGAAAAAGAGAAGGACCATCAGGTCCTTATAGTCTTGGTACACCACCAAGATCCAAAGGCGTGTAAGAGACCCAAGGGCATCTGATTTCCCAACACACACACATACATATGTATCTATGTGTTTTTAATGCTATAGTTTGACTATCAAAGGACCACCTCCAAACTTTACTCAAAAAAGAGTCAGAAAGCATTCCTTCTCCTGGATCTTTATCTTGTAGAAATAAATCCTAAAGTCAGTCATTAAAGGAGACAAATATTTACAGACACATTAACTACAAAGCTATTTGTAATGGCAAACTAATGTGGAATAATTTAAATATCCAAAAGTAGAATCATGGTTAAAAATAATAGTGTATCAAATGAGGGAATATTATGTAGATCTTAAAATATGGATTTTTAAAGAACATTCAATGACATGGGAAAATGCTGTCAGGTGTAGGACTTTATTTTACCCGACTACAAGCTAAGGTTGCTCCACATATGCTGGAAGACACAAGATCTAAGACTCTGCAATGGGAAACAAGACTCCATCATCCATGGCATAGTAACCAATAGGCACCACAATGTGTTCTCATGGAGGCAATGCATTATGGTCCAGGTAAGTGCTGCACATGTAGTGCACTTGCGTCACAGCTAAGGGACACTACACTTGGAAAATATATCGTATAAACTCTAAAACACTCTAAAGGTTACACTGAAGAGTTTGTATTTAATTTTATATAGCATCTATTGGGAAGTATTGACAATTTTGATCAGACTCATACTGCAGATCGATTTCTTTCAGGCGAGACCTAAGACAGATTCAAAGCAAATGGAGAAGAACGTGAATGAACTACTCAACTGACATTTCTGTAACAGCAGAAGTGTTCCACCTCTGTACTAATACAGTAGTTTCAAATGTCAGGGGAAAGTGCGTTACTGAAACAGAAAGGACAAGTGAAGCATCAATTCAAAAGCAATGTTTACTGGGTGCCAGGCATTATTCTAGATGTAGGAAATATAGCAATAAACAAACACAAAGATTCCAGTCTCACAAAACTCACATTCTAGTAGGGAGAGGAAGAAAACAACATACTAGTCAAAGGTAAGCTTGTAAGCTGGTGTTAAGACGGATGACAACTAAGAGCAGGACATGGGAGCTTCCAAAAGTTTGTACAAAAATTCTGTTATCTTTCAATCCCATTTCCCAACAAACTCTCAAAGTCTTCTTATAGACTGCAATATAAGAAAATTAAGATTGAAAAATGGTTATATTACATAGCACTCCTTAATGTGGGAATCTTGTTAACTTGCAAATTCTAATTCAGTAGGTCTAAAATTTCTGGAACTTGAAATTCCGTAGTTCTACTAACTCCGTAGGGATGTCTAATGCAATTGGTCCTCAGACCACATTTTGAAAAGCAAGAATATGTACTTTTTCGAGAATCATACAGTGAGTAACAAAATTGGTACTTCATCTCTTTACTTTTAACTCTAAATTCTGAACCCTTTTCTTTCTGACTCTGCCTTTCTCTGGTCACTAATAAGCTTAAAAAAAGGAGAATACAGAATGAAATGAGTTGAGGAATGAATTTTAAAGTAAAAGATTATGGGTATTAGAATTTACCCTTTCAAGAACGCTAAAAAGGAACATCAACGTTATCTACAATATAGCTAGAGAAGAACTATATCATTTTTTGTAAGAAAACAAAATAGGCTCAAGAAGTTGACAAACCAAGCCCTTGTTTTGAAAAGATTTCTAGAAGCTTTTGAATGTCCTTGACCATTACACAAAGTACCTGTGAAAGGAACCAACCAGTGAAGAAAAACATAGTCAAATCCTTGAAGGATCCCGAGGCTTAAGAAAAGGAGCAAGACCATACTTAGATGCCAGAGGAAAGGAAAGGAACCCAGAACTACTAGTTCTGCTCCTACAAAGGCAAGAGGAAACTGATGGTGGTCAAAGAAACATCTGGCAGTTCTCTGTTACACTTAAAGACATGTACTCTGGGAAAGTTAGTCTCCTCCTTGATTGTGGAAAGAGGCAGTGAGATAATACTATATAGTGCCTGGTTATTAAGTACTCGATACAAATTCTGTACCATTACTCACAGAAGTTCCCTTTGGGACAAGGGGAAGCTGAAATTTCAGGTCCTGCTTCCAGGGCCCTCATTTCAGGAGAACCCTCCCAATGCTCTGTCCACAAATATTAAGTCGTCACATATTCTGGGCCACACTAGGTCTCCTCTCTGCCTTCAGTAACCTGCAACTCGATCACAGGAGAGAGCTATCCAACAAAAAACAACCTAGGTAGTTAAGCCAAACCATGGGTTAGGTTTTA